GCAGGGTCAGTCTTTGAGAAACTGTGCTAGGCAGATCTAGGAAGAGGAAATTCAAACTCATGTTTCGATGAAGCAAACATGTGGTTGTTCTTGTAAACTGCCACAGGTTTTGACTAGGCTTAAGCTCTGCTGGGGTTTGCCAGGGGAGTTCTCCAGTATCCGTTTCTTCCTACACCTTACAGAAAATTCACACACACACACACACACACACACACACACACACACACACACACACACATGGATTTTTGAAACAGGGTTTCTCCGTAGCTTTTTATTCCTGTCCTGGAACTAGCTCTTGTAGTCCAGGCTGGCCTCGAACTCACAGAGATCCGCTTGCCTCTGCCTCCCGAGTGCTGGGATTAAAGGCGTGCACCACCACTACCCGGCCACATTTATATTTTAAAAGAGGTTCAAAAGTACCAGTCTTTCCTTCTTTCCTTGGCCTTGATAACTTATTTACTGCTTCAGATACACAGCTGTTACCATGGTAAAGCTGTGGCAGTTAACTCCGCTCAATTTGCCTGCTGCAGGGGCGCTGGCATACTCTGTTCTGACTTCCTGCAGGAATCATAAAGAATGTACTCTGGCCTAGTGGTGGTGGCACGTGCCTTTCATCCCGGCACCCGGGAAGCAGTGGCAGGCGGATCTCTGTGAGTTCCAGGCCAGCCTGATCTACAAGAGCTAGTTCCAGGACAGGTTCCAAAGCTACAGAAGAACCCTGTCTCGAAAAAACAATAAACAAACAAATAAAAATAAAAAAGAATGTACTCTGAATTTCCATTACAAAATCAGTAATTGCATTCTCCGTGTCAGTTGTGAAGCTGAATGTGAAAACACACGATCTCTTGATGGAGAATGGGAAACAATACACGTGGTTAGTTCCGTGTTGGTCGGTCTCCTTGGTGAAGACGTGAAAGTTGAAATGCAAGAAAAAAAAAAGCTTTATTATATTGAATGAGTGTAGGCTGACTACTTAGAAGCAAAACAATTTAGGTTCCTAGGAAAGACACCCGAAGTAACTTCAAAGTCGACTAAGCCATCGTCTGAAAACGTTTCTGACAGGTTGCAGAGTAAAAGGAACGCGCATCACCGGAAGTTACTCGGTAAGGATCAAGTTTCGAGTCTACGGGAGACGTGCGGATCCCGCCACCCTTCGGCTTGCACGAGCTGGTTTGGGACTGCGCCCGTCCGCCGGCTCCCCTCCCGTCAGTCCGCGCTCGCCCCTCGTCTCCCTCCTTTCCCCGGCTCACCATGAGAAGAAGGACCCTCTGGAGGGAAAAGTCTTAACTCTGCAGCGTAGGAACGCTCACGGTTGTCAGGGAGACAGGCCACGCCCACGCACCAATCCCAGCGCTCTGCGAAGATCCGCCTGCGCAGTCGCCCTGCGGTCTTCCGGCGGGAGTCTTGTCAGAGACTGGCGGCCCAAGCCCCAGCCCACTTCCGACACGAGCCCCGCCCCCCAGGCCAGTTACCTAGGGCCGCCCACTCCGGCCGGCGCCCCGCCCACTTCTGGCAGGCGCCCCGCCCCTCCGAGGGAGGACTGCCGCTGTCAGAGTGTTTACGGCCGTGCTGCCGCAAAGCGCTGGAGTGCGGCGGCCGAGCGACTGGTTTTCCGGATCCGGGGGCTGCAGGTGGTGAAGTATGCTTTAGGAGCGGGCTCTGTGGTGGGAGGGGAGCTGTGTGTTCTCACGCTGCATCCCAGGCTGACCTGGAACTCGCGGGCATCCTTCTGCCCCTCCTCCTCCTCCGAGCTGGGTTACAGCCGTGGGTCGCCACGCCCGGCTCTATAAAGGGATTTTTCCCTCGCTTCTGTGCTCCGCGGCAAGCCTTTTCCCGGGGATCTAAGGATGGCGCCAGCCGGCGACTAGGTGAAGCCGGCTCTGGGCAGGTCGCCAGGAGGTCGCTTGGCCGCGTAGGCGAGGCAGATGGGCTCCTAGAGGGTCCCAGAGACTAAAGTAGTGAAGATTCTTCACTGACCGCGATGGTTTAGTTTTTGTGCAAAACATTCGCCCCTTTCCCCTAGAGCTACCCACACAAGGTGTGAAAGGGACTCGAATTAATTCCTGGGCAAACTATTCCAGTAGACGTGGCTAAGAGCCAGCGAGCCCGTATTGTCCCAAGGTCACCGACTCAGTTGCGCTGTTGTAGCAGTCTTCAGAGTCGGAGCACCTCTCCGTAGAAAGGAATGGCACTTGACACCAACCGGAGAGTAGCAGGAACCGAGTCAATTATTTGTCCTAACCCCAGTTTAAGACCTGTCCAACCTATTAAACACAAGACGAAGTAAAATTATGTCCCGTATCTAAATTCCAATTTAATGTTCTATCACGTTCTTACATGCCCCTGACTAAATGTTCTATTCCTAAGTATTACTGGCAGCCAGTTTTTGTGGGTTAAAGTTATTGGTTGCGTAATACTTATGGTCTTACTGCCCTCTGAGCCTTGGTAAGGAGATAAAAACTCACCATCCACTCACTGCATGCAAATTCAAATTTAGCTCACTATAAGCCGTTGTTGGAAAGTTAGCTTTTGTTTTTAATTACTCAACAAAGCTACTACTATTGTTTTGTGGTGTCACCAGATTATATAAAGATCAATATAAGAACCACACATGCATATAGCACTTGGGTGTACAAGTGCACACCTTTACTCAGTATGTAAGAGGCCCAGACAGCCCCTATTGTAGTGAGCTTCCAGTACAGCATGTCTCAACTTGTGAGTCGCAACCTTTGGAGCCAAACAACCCTTTCACAGGGGTCATCTAAAACCATCTATGCTACACTACGATTCATAACGGTAACAAAATTAATTATGAAGTAGCAACAAAAGTAGTTTTATGGTTGGGGTCACCACAACCTGAGGAACTATCAAAGGGTCACAGCATTTGGAAGGTTTGAGAACTAGTGTTCTAGCCCATATTGCCTCCTAAAATATCCCATCCATATGGTGGTTTATAAATTTATTTGCTTCTACATGAAGTAGATTCCTGGGAACAATTTTACAGTGGAGAATCCTGGCAAGCACTTTTAATCAGCCGTAACAACACAGTGGAATTGTGCCTAGCTGATAAAGATGCAATGTAAGAGGTTAGAAATGGGAATATATTTAGGCTTGGTCCAGTGAGGCCTTTCCCAAACTCCGCTCCTTGGCAGCTTGAGCCACCTAACATAAGAAGCATGGTCACCACTGCAGATGCTGTTCCTGTGGAATCCTTGCCAAATGCTTCACTTGCCCTCATTCCATCATTGTGCATTCTCATTCTGCGCCAACCTCTTTGATCTCCCAACCCGGTTTCTTTTCGTCTTTAACTCTCCTCCAAGAACACCTTTTGAGATTTGGACTCTTAGTGTCTCCCAAGTAATGACGCTTAACCTTAAGAGTGGGGTAGACAGTTTTCCTTTTGGTATGCAAACAGGCTTGGAAAAGCTAAGAGAGCCTAGATTATAAAAAGCTCTCAGCGCAAACTACCATTCTGGGGAGTATATCTTTGTGAATAAAACACACAAGCAAGATCCCAGCGAGAGGCTGGAGTCCCTGACCACAGGGCCAGCTCACTGAATACAGTTTATGGAAAGGACTGACACCAGAGGCCATGGCCTCAACATGCATACTGTGGCAAGTGCACACCTGCACACAAAGATGAAAAACAAGCCTACCATTTCCCCAATATGGAATGTTTGTGATGAAGATTACATAGCAGTTACTTGAAAAGAAAAATCTTCCTTTTCTTTTAGGTATGTATAAGAGTGGATTGATTCCATGTTAAATGAAAATGGCTAATTCTTTGCGAGGAGAAGTACTGGCCCTGTACAAAAATGTAAGTAATTATGCTGCCAACTTTACAAATGCTATCATATGACATGGATTGCTTAGAAACACATCTCTCTTTTTAAAGCTGCTGTATCTTGGACGGGACTATCCAAAAGGAGCAGACTATTTTAAAAGGCGTTTGAAGAATGTTTTCCTTAAAAACAAGGATGTGAAGGACCCAGAGAAGATCAAAGAGCTTATTGCACGAGGAGAATTTGTAATGAAGGAGCTAGAGGCCTTATACTTCCTTAGGAAATACAGAGCTATGAAGCAACGTTACTATTCAGATACCAACAACTAACAACCATTGCTATCAACACCTGGCTGACAGCACCAGCTGTTTGTGTGTACCAACTATTATAAAATGATTCCATTCACACTGTCACAGTACATGTTTAAAAACCCAGAGGTGCCCTAATGCATTAAAAAATGTGTGTCAGCCTCATTGATACTGAGCTCTACTCATAATCCTTCACGCTCAAATTTTATTAACACAGCAGCACCTTTCATGAGAATACAATTTTTCAAGAAAATAAACATACCCGATTTTTTTAATGTTATAGCGAATTATTCTTAGTCGATTTCTCCATTTACTAATGAGACTATCATCAGCAAATGGTGTCTAACAAGTATATTACCCTTTAGCTTGTGAGCGCTTGTGATTTCCCCCCATCTAGTAGAGGAAAGTACATATTCAAGGCTGTCTACAAACACCTCCTCAAAATGATTTGAATGCAGTTTTCAAAATAAGACGTATCAAGGTGACTTTGAGTTTGAGGATGCTCAGCAGGTGACTGGCATTATGTAGCCATTAGCTCCCCTTAACCCCAAATCCGTCCAGCCTGGACTAGCTTTCATGAGTGGAAAGGTTCCTGTTTCCACCATCAAAGCAAATATACTTTTGCTAGTGTGGAGTGAGCCTACCTGAACAGGATGCATATTTAAACAAACACTTTAACGTTTATATAATAATCTTAGCAACTTTATAAATAAAGAACTTTCCAAATTAAAGTGGCAAAAAGTGTCTGCTTAATGGAGTTCATATCAGCTACTTGGCAGATGTTCCAAATTCCCATCAAGAAACACCCACAGTCAGGGCTGAGGTGTAGCTCGGTGTGGATGCTTGCCCAACAAATGCTGAGACTCTGGACTTGAACCTCAGCCACAATAAGAAATACGTGATTACACACTTTATAGTCACCATAACTATTTTTATTACATTACAATGATTAGGAGCAGTACAGTTCATGACAAAAATATTACAAATTTCAGATCACTTCACAGCACATACTCCTATAAACATTTAAAAGTTAATTTTAATTAAAAGAGTGGTCATTTTTAAATTTAATGTTTGATATGACCAACATTCCCTAGATCAGCACAACCAAAGGATGGAAAACAACTGGATCACACTGCATATGTCCCACACACACCAAAAAAAGAAAAAAGAAAAAAAGAGAAAAGAAAAGCACAATGTACAAAATGTGCATGTTTCAGTTTACACTATACAAAAATAGTTAAAATACATTCCAGGTAAACATGTTACATTAAGAAATAGCACTAGTAAGAAATTGGCACTCAAATAAAAATGCAGAAGTGTTTTCAACATGAAGAATGAGACAGTGGAATTGGGGACCTGGAGATAAATCAGGACACAGCCCAGTTAGCTGGCGGGGGTGGGTGGGTCTGAAACTGGCATTTCTGCAGAGAACTGAATTTTCCAAAATTCATCTAAAATGCCTACCGCCATCCCAAATAGGCACACCACAAATCTGAATCCAATTAATAACTATTCTTTGAAAACTAATACATTTCTTTAGAAATAATTTTCATGTTTTGACATAATTTTACACCTACTGGGTATATCTGTTCAATTTTTCAGTGCGGAGTTCATGCTACCCAGTATTACACAGAAGTCATTAAGAATAAATTCACCTTTAAGGTAACTTTTGGGGCTTAAAAAAATGGCTACACGATTATCAAGAAATTACTACGTTTAACAAATGGAGTTTAAATTTTTATTGCCTACAAAAATCCCTCCTAAATATATATTATTGTTTTGGAAAAAAAATGGAAGAATCAGTGGAATACAAAATGAGATGAATCTGCAAACTAACTTCTGACATGCCTCACGTAACTTTTATGTATGTTAAACAAAATTGTGCAACAGTGAAAAGTCTTAATAATCTATAAAAATTAGGATCTAAATCCCTATGCAGTGTGACTCAAGTCAGTAGAGCCTAGAACTCCTGACTGAAAATATTTACTCAAATTGTATTTGTCTGCTATATCCCCACAAACATGCTAATGCCTATGACTGTTATTTAGCACTGGTTTTCAATTTCAACAGGCTGTAGTAACTAGATAGCACTTATGTTTGTTCCTCGGACTTTTTCCCTTTGAAAAATCTCTACAAAACCTTCTTGTTAACAAAAGACTAAATATTCAAAATTTACACAATGGTAATTACCACTACTTAACACACTGCCCAGAGTCTCTAGTAAATATCTGATTATGCACCGCAGCTCCTGAAGTATACCTGCTCCTCTGTATAGAAACAAGAAGCGTCACTAATTGTGTTAAAACTTAATATCCGGGCAGCAGTGGCTCAGGCCTTTAATCCCAGCACTTGGGAGGCACAAGCAGGCAGATCTCTGTGAGTTTGAGGCCAGCCTGGTCTATAGAGTGAGTTCCAGGCCAGCCAGGGCTACACAGAGAAGCCAGATCTTGGACCCTCCTCCCCCAGCAAAAAAACAAAACAAACAAACAAAAAAACCCCACACACATATTAAAAAAAAAAAACTTAAAATATCCACCGAAAGAATATTTTAGGAACATGTAGAGTTTAGAACATTTCAGAATCCTACTAATTTTCTTTTCTTGCAAATAAACTCAGGTGCCTGCTTATTTGTACCCAAATAAAACTATTTTAGAAGTTAATATTTAATTTTCATAAGTTTTTTTAAAAAATTATCTACTTAAGGAGAAAACTAGATTAGGGAATTTCTGTTCTTTTAGAAAAAATAAAGTTGCACTGGAATCACAACCAGCAATTCTTGCTGAATCGAGAGGAAACTGCAAACACCTCTCTGCAAAACTGAAACCATGTGTTCTATTATTTCGAGGCCCTCGGCCACACATCTTACTAGAGTATTACAAATACACTACAAACCTCGGGCCAAGGATTGTGTCCCTTCTTTGGGGACACCACATCACATCACCAGTGCCTGTGTGGTGCCTAGCATTAAGACAAGTACTGAATAAATGCTAAGGAAATATATTCTGACTTTAAAAATGAGCTATCTGATTGAAACTTTAAAGTGTTTTCACTGTAAGGCTGCACTTATTAAAACAGTGGACTCTTATCAACCAGAATGATGCCCAGATGAAGATAGGGGCTGCAGGCATGAAGTCAAAAAGGATCAACATTAAATTTCTGTAGTGGCCTCCTGAAAACCAGCTATCAATTCAAATCCCAGTCTGGTTTCTGTTGGATTATTTTAAACCCTGGGGAAGAAAGTCATAGGCAGCTTTGATGAACCTTCCTTAGTGGGCAACTTTCATGTAGTTGTTCATTGCAAAAATAAAATTTGAAGTGGGGGAAATTAAAGTATTAAAAGGAAACTACACTAAGTCTGGGGCATCTGGAAATTGGAGAACGGATGCTGAACTATAAACTTTGCCTATTGCACAATTTTGCCCAGGACTGGCAGTGAAGATGATAATCCATGTAAAAAAGTTACAGATCGTGCTGAGCGTGACCACTCGGTGTGTCAGTGTGTAAACAGACTAAGTTACACAGCTGTGAGGAGCTTTTGAGATGACTGAACACTGAGTAAGACAGTGATATGCCTAAAATCAGACTTCTAAAAGATAGACATCCAGTCCTCATAGTCCAGTGGATTTTAATGTCACTTCAGAAATTTGAAGGAATGCTTTAAGTGACTGAAGGGATTGTTTTTGCTGTTGTCTATCCTTAGAGCACAGAGATTTCTAAGTACACATCAGCTGGGGAAGTATTAGGAATGTTTGCTCAGAGGTGAGAGACTAGTCAAACACACATTCTCAAGCCTTCATACTACACTGTCCTAAAGATGTACTCTCCTTGTAGCCTCTTACCCCAACATCTCAACCTTGAAACTAACAGAAATTTAAATTTTTTTTATTATAAACAAAAGAAATATTCCAGATTTGTCAGCAGAACTGCTACATGCGAATGCACTGACTGAGCTGTCCAAACTCTCCTTATCCTCATCCTGACCAACACTGACTGTTGCTCATCACAGGTCACGTAAGGCCCAGTCTTGCAAACTTGATCTCAACACCTGTTAAGCTGCAACTGTCTCAAATCATCTTCAGTTTCTCTACCAGAATTAAAACTACTATCAAGACATAAGTTCAAAACACTTAAAAGTTAGGCTAAGGAAGAACACTCTGACATCGGGATTATACTAATTCTTATGAGAACTTATATAATGTTAAAATTGTTGGAATTATTACAAAAATTTAATAGCTCGTAAATATAGCCCAAATGGTTACTATTTCTTACTGGGTCTGCCTTACCAGGAAAAGCTATCAGGAATCTTACAGTAATTTAGCTAATATGGAATGGACTTTTATTCACTATTTTCCATTGCCTTTTTTTTTTCCCATTTTCCCCCTTTTCTAGAAAAAATATACTATTTTGGGGCATGACCATGACTAATAGCAGTAGAAAGCAAGAGAAAGCCTTTGTGAACAGTCTAACTAACTACACTTACGAAGCATGATAGACTCCGGACATGCTAGAAGTGAATCAAAGGGAAGCCCATAAATCTGTGATCCCTCAGTCTTAGCAGAACCAATCATATGGTCTCAGATGAAGCTGTAATTACTAATAATTCATTCTGTGACTAGATGAAACACAGAGCAGGATGGCTCAAAAGCTTCATTACCATGGTTCACGCCAACGCTCACAGCTGGTAAAAGAAGTAGCAAGGAATCATGGGCACGCACCAGAACCCAAGACAGTCTCAGGTCTTTGTCTCTTCCACAGGCATTGCTAGTTTAAGTTCAAAACCCAGGGAATACTGGCACTTGGAATAAAGAGGTTTCCACTGTCATTTTAAAATAAGCATTTAAGATAAAAGCTGACAGTTTGCACGAACAGGGAAAAGAATTAGGTAATGCTGAAACAAATGCCAATAATTTAGTGTAATGTACAAAATTACCACCTTCACTTCAGTATGCCTTAAGAAAACAGTACAAATTGTATTTACATAATTATACACTTTGTCTTTGACTTCTTTTTCTTCTTTTTACCATCTTTGCTCATCTTTTCTTTATGTCTTCGAATTTCTCGGACTAATGTGTAGAAGGCATCATCAACACCCTGAAATATATCAAAAAAGGATCAAAATGTTAACGCATTTGATGGCCTGCGGTCCCCATGATAGACTTCACTGTCAATGGAAACTTTACTGATAAAGGCAAGTCCAGTTTGTGCTGATGTTGTGGTAGCTGAATGGGCCAGAATGTTAGCATTAAGTATCGCATCATGGATACTCTGACATTTTAAAATATTTAAATTATTACCTAAAAATTTTATGATATTTAAAACAGCTTAATCTGTATGAGTGTTTTGTCTGCACGTCTGTCTGCATCATGTGAGTACAGTGCTCAACAGAGGCCAGAGAAGAGCATCAGATCCCCAGGAACAGTTGTGAACTGCCTTGTGGGTGCTGCGTGGCTGAGTCCTCTGGAAGAATAGCCAGTGCTCTTAACCACTGAGCCATCTCTCCAGTCCTGGTATTCTACAGAAATAGAAACTTGACTTTCACAGCATGCAGAGATAGTAAGTGACACAGAATCTTACATAAGCTTAAGAAATGACTTTTTTTTTTCCCCACAAAAGGACTTAATTTTCTACTAATTTTTCCTTACTAGCAAACTTAGTCACAATTCCCAGTGCTTGCCTCCATGTATGGTAGGTGTGCCTTTATATATACAACTTAATTGTTCCCAAGTTTCTGGACTTTGGACCGTAAGCCATGTGACTTTAGGACACTGCTTTCTTGAAAGCTGTTGTAATGCTCCTGACCTCTGGTGATGAGCAAAGTTGTCTGAGAGGTGATGGACTTAACCACACTGCAGAAGATGCTCTGTTTTAGTTACTGTTCAGCTATTCAAAACTTGCCATATACAAACCCATCTTCAAAGAACATCCAACATTAGCAATTAAAGCCTACATCTATTTGCTATTTTTTCAGTTGTGACTAAAATTGAGTAAGTCAGAGTAATTTCCAACCTCCTAGGACCCTGTCATGAAGAGTACATTCTAGAAGTAAGAAAACTGAGTTTAAACCTTAAATATGCAAGTTCACACTGGAGTAAGCCCTTGCCTTATCTTTGTTAAAAGCAGAAGTGATGCTGAAGAAATGTGTGGCCATGCTTTATTTTATCTGTTCATCCTAGTAGGAACTACAGAAAGAAACTTTAACCTAATAATGCTTCCAAACCTAGACAATAGAGGGAATCTGGAGAATGGCACCCAACAAGTTAAGCCACTTTTGTATACTTCCAACTTTTCATTTTGACAACTAACCCCTAATTCGGTACAGTTAGAAAGGTCGAATGGCAATGAAGCTTGCTCACATTTAACAAAGAGAAACAGGATAATGTCAGTATCATCTATTGGAATGCAAGTGAATAAATATATATTGCCCCAAACCCCCAATCTGCACTCACTGGTGCTTTTCACCTCCTGATACAATGCAAACAATACAGCCAAGGCTGCATTAGAGGATGGGATCCACTCAGACAGACAGACTCTTCCTTCCATGCCCTTCGTGCGCTGAGAAACCCTTCCAAGGACATGATAAAAGTACCTATGCCTCACTGGCACTTTACCACTCAGGGTCATAGACCCTTGGAATTGGATGAAATCTTTTTGTCTGCATGTGTGGGGGGAGGGATACCTGTGTATTCAAGTGGAGGCCTGAGGAGGACACCAGGAGTCTTGTTCCATTGCTTTCCACCATCTTCCCTTGAGGCAAAGTCTCAATGAGACTGGAGCTAGGCCGGTGACCGGTAAACTCCAATGATTACTTTTGACCCCTGCCCCAACGCTGGAATTACAGCTGGTACTGGCCAGCTTTTTGTGAGTTCCAGGGATTTGAACTCAGGTGCTCACACTAACACAATAAGCGTGCATATTCAATGAGCCATCTCCCAGCCCTGAGATGCAATCTTATCTAACTCCCTTTTAACCTTCATGAGTCCCTTTGATCATGCATTATATTGGCTACTCTGTTTCAACTTGTTAAAAAATTATATTCATTTCTCTGTGTTTGTGTGCACGCCATGGCATACACATGGAGGTCAGAGGACAACCCGCAAGTTCTCGCCTCCCATCAAGTGGATCTGAAGAGCAAACTCAGGTCGGTCCTCAGGCTGGATCTCATTAGCCCTCGAGCTATTTTCATAATGAAGGAAGACCAATGATACTAAAACAATGGTGCAGAGAAATAGAAATCCTGAGAGGGATAGTTGTATGAAACTTTTTAAGGGGGAATAAAATACAAGCATTTAAGAGACAAGGAAAACAGAACTTAACAGCACGTACCCTCTTCTCAGGTTCTGCACTTCTTCTAACTAGATGACTTCAAGGTTAGAGAAATGTCATAGTTAATGTACACAGGGCAGTGGACTCCTTGTTCTTGTGGGAACTAATTCTCATAAAGTCACATGTCATATTCTGCTAATTATTCTGTTTACACTTACCCCTTTTTTACAACTATGAACAACTAATTAGTATGTATTTATCGCTATTAAATAAAAACTTTATATTTAACTATAAATATCATAAAATATACCCTTTCTTTATATGCACTGTGCTATATGCACTAAAATCACAACGATTCAATTCATAGGGTCAAACTATTAGCATTCACGCCAGTCACTGCTACAACTCTATCTTTTAGACAGAGCAGTGTGATTCTGCCTTCGTTTTGAATATAATGTTAAGTGTACCACATACTCTAAATGTTGTTCTATTTTAAAATAATCTAAGAGTGAGGCTGGAAAAGGAATAAGGTTAAACTCGCCACTTAAATCTGGTCATGACTGTTATTTTCAAAGGTTAACTTTTCAAATTGCATTTTAAATGCAATTTCTAAATTTCTAAAACTGAAGTATGGCTCTACACAATGATACAAATTCTAAGAGTTTATAATCCCCTTAGAAATCCATGCAAGTATTGCTTTGTTTCTGAGTTTACATCACTTAGTAGTCTTAAACACTAATTTTGTTTCATGTTCTCAAGAAACACATATATGACAACAGCCTCTACAAATGTCAACTCACTGAGTGAAGAATTGGGTGAGCTACACAAAATATAATCTGGGTTAGACAGGGAAGTCAAAGGGTCCATTCAATATTTACTAAAAAAAAAAAAAGTACCTATGTGCCAAGAATTCCAGCACACAATGGGCACAAAAGATTAAAATATATGGTCCATCTCTGGAAGTCTATTGTCTAATAAAAGAATAAAAACATAAGCTATTTCAATGCAACATAAAAACCATATAGTTAAAAATAGTATACTAGAAATACACAAAGCCACAATGCCCACTTTAGGGGGTTGAAGAGATTCTTAGAGACTGGGAAATCACATGTTAGCTGGTTAATCCAACTAGGGATAAGAATACTATGATCCAACAAGAGGCAAGACTGAAGGGAAGGGAGGCAGGGCTAACATGGTGTCTATGTAGGGACAAAACTCGGGCAAGATGGTCCTTTTCGGATAGAAAGTTCCAAAAGGTGGGAAATGGGGAGGTGTGTGCGGGGCTGCTGGAGCTGTGTTCACTGTGGACCACTGACTAGATTCACAAGTAGGAGACTGGCACTCCTTTGGAGCAGCCTGGACAGTGAATGATGGCAGCTACCTGGAAACAGCTGCTTCGGAATGGGTACAGGAGCGCACAGCGGCGCCCACATCTCCCTGGGTAGGCACCTAGCTACAAAGCACAGGGGAGAAACTGTTCACTTGGGCCTTTTCCCACCTCTGGGCCATATTATTATTACACATTTTTTTACTCAAAAGCTGCTGGTTATCTTAAAATTTAAATCTGATTTCCTTTAAATAAACCATCAGTTCTCAAATGCTTAGCTTACTTAAAACTAACGCAGCCATTAGAGCTTATGACAAACGCAGACTAGTCGACTGCAGTCACCAAAAGGTGTCAGTCAGAATTAACAACCTCTTGTAAAATCAGTGCACTCATTACAGAAACAAATGACAAGTTTCTTATCTTTTAACACTTCAAAGCAGGACACCACATCTAAGTAGTTCTGTCTGCTTTGTTACCTGTGAAAGACATCTGCTTTGTACCAAAATGAGTATGCTGAACTTACCAGGTTACATTATAATGCATTTTTTAATTTTCACACAGCCAGGAGTCTTTTCTTCTTTGCTGATTTTTTTCAATCTGTACTGTCGGATCTCTCTCACCAATGTATAAAAAGCATCCTCCACTCTCTGCATTGTAAAACACAACTCCTTTAAAGTCTGTTTCATTTGGAAGAGTAATTTACTGGGAGAGCCATGTGTAAGAAGTTTGAATTATGAGCTTCATAGTTGAGAATTTTTTAAAGCAGATATCAGATTGAATAAAACTGAGGATGCGGCTTTAAAACATGAGCTAGAACCTGGTTTGTTCTCAAAAGTATTTAATTTTTTATTGGACTCAAGAGTTAAAACATTTTTAGTTAGGCATCAGAGGAGACTGAAAAGCCTAGCTCTGTGTCTGTGTTTCTCGATATAATAACTGAAGTTTGAGGAACTGAAGTTAGGTCTGAACTTTCCTTGGACAAAGGAAGACGAGTGACCTCCATACACCACCGATGTCACCCTCCACCCAGCAAGGGAGCAGAGAGAGAGAGAGGCTGACTAGAGATATGAAGCTTTGCTAAAACCAAACCTCAAATCCATGTCCCAACCAAAGTGATTTGAAACATTGGAACCTCCAGTTCTATCTCCAATGGGTAATTCTAGTTAATTTATAAATCCCTAAGCCCATCTGAGACTGGTACCACAGTGGATGGATAATTACAGTATTTAAATAAGTTAAGTAGGAGCCATTTACCAAAGCAAGAAACTCCACAAACCATTTGAAATATGTAAGATAGGAGCAATACATTTATGTCCTTATATAAGTCTCCAACAGTCTGCAGATGCTGCTGTGTGCCTTGAATTTTAATTGCATACTCTAAAGAGGGGTTCTTTTAAACTATTTTGGAATTTATTTTATGTGCATGAGTGTTTCGAGCACATGTATGTCTGTGCACCTTGTGCACACCTGGTCCTTAAAGGTCAGAATGACTCAGATCACC